GCGGACCGGTACCGGTCCGCGGACCGGCGGTTGGGGACCCCTGACATAAATGAATGGAGCACAGTTTGAGTCCAGCAAAGTCAATATGTCATTAAATGATTTTATTTCTCAATGCCACCCTTAGATATTCTTATTCAGCCATGGTGTCTCCAACAAATCCTTATTGGCAGAACATGCACGATGATATCATTTTCATTGCTTACCTACATGCTTATGTTGCGCTTGGTTATCATTGAAGGGATTCCTTGCATTTCCATGACCTTAAAACCAAGGTATGTGCCAAACAATCACACCATCTCAAGCACAGGTTATAGAGTACGGGATCGACACTAAAATCTGCTCTATTCTATGCTGTTCCTGTGGCAGAAATCTTGCCTCACTCATTCAGATGCGTGCAACGTGAAATCGCTTGAGTGGCCATGATCCGCAGTCACTGGACAGCCACTCTTCGCTGCCCCATTTTAAACAGCCCAAATACGTTCTTCCCAAAATGGAGTAACATGTAACTAACGTGTCAACAAAAGGTTATGGAGCATATAAGATGACACGGGTATATCAGCTGTGATTTTGGTACATTTCACATCTGCTTATTATAAAAGAATTTGAAAATACGGCCATGTAATTGTAAGAGTCTCAAAAACTAAGCTTGTGAAGCCTGAGACCCTGCAACTATTCAAAATGCTAGAATTTTGAGTTGCTATCCCAATTATGCAGTTAGGTGCCCCTTTAAAGAGGTGTGAGAAACGATTTAAAAAAAAAAGAGCAGTTTTTCACAAACCCATTGCCTTGGTTCTGAGAATCTGCTCCTGTGAAATACAGTTCACTTCTAATGTACTGTGAAAATGAATCGGTTATTCTGAATGTAGGTAAACCAGACACACTCTGCTCAGGGCCAAATTAATCGTCCCTCAAAATTATGACTGATTTATGCTGCGCGGTTTAAACAGAAAAAAACAACACGGGTTACTTCTCTATAAATTACTACATCAATGTCAAGTATATTGGATATATTTTTAAAGGGATGTTCTGAACTGCTTCTGGCAGCCCAGCCACTGAAATTAGGCCACACCCACATGCAAGGCTAGTGTGGCTCATGGAAAGTTACTGGCCTGAACCATTTCAAACCAAGAGGGGAGCCGAATGAAGAATGACTACAAGGAATGCAGCAGTGTGACACTCACCTGTAACAAAATTCTGCTGCCAGAGGCCATAGGATGATGTTCAACATAAGCCTAATGTAATCTTACATTTTTTTAATAAACCAAGTTGTGATGCTTGCAGTGTCAAATTGAGTTTATTCATTTTTGCAGTAATGCTCTTTATTACACCCACAAGCTGGACAACTTCTAAACAAACCTGTTCCCCTCAAACTCTCATGTCTGCAGTCTGCTGAGCATGGTGCTCGTTTTAGCTCAAACGCAATCATTTCAATTGAATGGTTTGAAGCATCCAGATGCGAGACACTGAGTACACATGGATCGACATTGAATACTGAATGTTAAGTACCAAGAAAATCTGTTAAAATCAAAGCAAACCGTGGGACTCCCGGTAAAAAGTAAGACGATAGACCAAAAAGCAGTGGTGAGCATAGCAATTCAAAACATCCAAACATAGAGCGAGGCAACAGACACTGTTGTGATGTAAACCCGTATTCTATTCTCGGCCTCTAGAGGGCTCATTTATAATCGAAACAATGTTGAGACCTCAGTCGATATGTGTTAGGTGTCATGGCTGTCTTGTGACATTTCTCAATATTATCGATTTTTTTGCACAATCTCAAATAATCTATCGAGAGTATATTCATGCAAAATCACTAATATGACAAGCTAAAAAAAAACATGCCGTTTGCGCATTGTAAATCAATCGAAAATACAAAATGACATTTCTGTAAGAATTGTGTGAATGAAAAAATATGCTGTAAGATGTATTGAAATGTACTGCAGTGTAGGCAATGGAGAATGTCGAAAAAAAATGCTCAATTTCTTGCTAACAAAATGAGAAGCAGTAAAATGCCAACAGTTGGAATGATAACATGGCATATGGTGCTGCGATCGCACTCTTGAGTCCCCTCCCCCTTTCCTTAACATGGCACGTTACAGACCACATCAGTAACTGCATCATAACAAGTTTGGCCATTTTCTGCATCGCTAATTTGGAATAATGTACTGCTTTTGGAAAGGAATGTAAATTTGGATGGAATGTTTTTTTCAATCAGATTCATCAATAAAGAGAAGAAAGAATGGACAGAATAATCAATTCTAAAAATAGTCATGAGTGAACAGCTCGAAAATTTTGAAAATACACAGCTAGTCTTTCTAATAGTTATTGGCCGATCTCACTTCACAGAGAATCAATCTGATTTGGTTATAAAATGTGGATTGAGAAATGTCATGGAAAATGTGAAATTCTGTAAAAGGTGGAAATTTTAGTAATATAAAAAAATAATTACAAAGATTCCTGGATCACGTCAACATTTATAAATTGTTATGGCTTGAATTGGTCGAGAAATGTGCAAGTTTTACTGACAAAAAAATGCTTAAAATAAAAATCAATATAACGTGTATTAGTGTAGAATAACTACAATTTCGAAAATCGGTTGCTAACCTAATGCGTCTTGTTAAAAGTACAAAATGTACCAGCATACAATTCAAAGAAAACTGTTAAATAGTGTAACAGTAAAATACGTCTATGTGAAAAGCCAAATGTGGGGTAAAAAAATCTGTCTTTGTTTTGATAAAATGCGATAAAAGGTTGAATTTTCTTGTATGCTAGCTATAGCCGCAGTACCATCACTCACCGACAGTCGCGTCGTCGAGCGATGTTCCCGCGATTTTTTCCGTGTCGAAAGCGGTCCAAGAAGTCCGTCTGCTTCTTTTTCCACGCTTCGGGATGTTGTGGCAACGCTACTTTGTTACAAGTCCACTGGCCCGGGGAGACGGGGGAGTAACCGGCTTAACCGTGCCACAACGGCGACCAACAGCGGCGGCGGCGGTGTGGTGCTTGGCTCGGTTTAGCGCTCGCGAACCGACTCCAGTCCCGTCTGACGAGTCGTCAGGTCGCTAGCAGTCGCTCCTCCTCTTTTCCAGCGCACAAAAAAAAAAAATACGTCTGTGGCGCGGAGGCGGGAAGAGTGAACTGCTCGAGGAGGGGAAGGAGAAGACTGGGAGGGGAGATGATGGACTCGACCAACCCTCGAGTCCTGGTCGTCAGTTGGTTTGTGTCCCTAACGGTGTAAGAGACACAACAACAACAACACAGCCACAACCTGTCAGCTAGGTATGAAGGTTCATACTGGACAGACTCTTGTTGAGACGGAAGCAGAAAATGTGCTAAAACTAAGCAACAAAAAAAGTGGAGTTTCAGACTGTATACTGAGACAGGACGTCAATATGGCGGATTGGCGGCCGGCCGAGATTGGTTGACCCGAGGGGAGGGATTAAATGGCGGTGGAGGAGTCAATTCGAAAAACAACTCCAATCAGCACTGATCTGTCGAAACTGCATGATCCTGGAGCAGTAAAGTGTAGCACTGAATTTGTCTCATTTGCCTCACAGATTTTACGTTTGGGGGTTGAAATTTTGCAGTGGTGTGCCATGTCATCTCATAGCAATGTACAAAACATCCACAGCATGCAATTGTGCAACGCACATATGGTCAGAATCAATAATTATCCAAAAATATGACAAAAAACATAAATCGAGTATATCATACTCACCAGAGATGCACATTATTAAATATATTACTGGCATTATTAAATCACTACAGACGTGCTTTGTAGGTCAAAATCAACTTTCTCCGACCAACCAATCAAAGGACAGATCCAATGCTGAAGTTCCAACCAATCAAAGGACAGATCCAATGCTGAAGTTCTTGAGGGCTTGAGAATCTGATTGGTTCAAGAAATAGCCTCATTACTAATATTCTGTCGTTAAAAGTACATTGGCAAGCTCGACTGATTCTGAAAGCCGTGGGCAAATTAGATTGACATGATAACACATCGAGGCTGAAATCCGATAAGACAAAAAAAAAAAAAATCGAACACGCTGTGCACCAAATAATAATCTCAGAACATTTAAACATTTCAAACTCATGTTGCCACATTATCCCCCCCCCCCCATAAGAGAATGGCTAAGATCATTTGATTTTGGAAAAGAGAATGCTGGGTGTTATGTCCCCACTTTGCAATTACTGCTTTCCTAACCAATTTATTAGGATTTTGACCTCCGATATACACTCTCATTTTTAAAAGACATACGGTATAATGCACACAACTCTATTTTCAGCTTGGCACCTTATGTTGAGCAGCTACTCATTACCCGCTGATCAGCTGTGATACACCGATGACAGTTGTGATCCAGAACTCTCTTTCTGGATCATATTGATAATCACCCTGCTTTGTTTCCTGCCTGTTGAACCTCTACTGGAATCCTCCATCATACCTCTGTTCACTGTCAGGCCTGCCGACTATCGAGTGTTGGCCAATGCTAGCTTAAATGGCATTTGGCCAGCATCTTAGGGTATTTCAGAAATGTCAAATTAAGTGACATTTTCAGCAAATATGATTTAAGTTCTGCAAAACATTTGCAAGGTACGAGTTCGCAAATGTTCAAACTCGAATCGGAGGGCGTTCATTGTACCATGGGTTATATAACTTTTTCTTCTAAAAAAAAATAACATTTTTCCTAGCGTTAAACACAGTTCAGGTTCACTCAGAAGTAACACAAGGTGCTTGTGGAGGCTCTCAGTCGTATAGGAAAGTTCAATCGTAGAAAGGGTTCCGTCAGTCGTCATCTGTAGCTATTCAGCCCTAGCCCAAACAATAGGCCTAATCAAGACCCAATGATAGGGAATTTAGAAATCAATGGTCACCACAGGGGCGTGACTAACCATCCCCACCCAGTCCTCAAATAGGCCACGCTCAGCTTTTTAGCGCAGAGCAATTTCCCGGAGTCTTCACGGAGACTTCAGAGTTGTCTACCGCTGACAAAGCTTCTGTGAGAGAAGCAAAACGTCCTTTTTGTTTTTTGTTTTACCCACAGGTACAGATGACGACTGACGGAACCCTTTCTACGAAGTAACACAAGGGTTAAATAATTGTAAGAAGAATCAGCTAAATGCCTACAACAATGGTAAACAAACAGGATTCTTGATTCAGTATTGAAAAATGCTCCGCAGGCCGGGTTAAAGAATGGAACGGGTCGTATGAGGCCTGCGGGCCATACTTTGCCTTCCACACTGTTTGGTCTAAAATGGACTCGCACTGTAGTGTCCAATTCCTATTTAGGTCCGATATCACTTTCACATGTCTATTTACATGGACGTTACAAATGACGCATATCTCATAACACTGTGTATAATTTCATTGAACACCTGAAGCAAGCCACTAGCTGTTGAATTGTATGTACACAATTACACAAGTCACCTAAAAACGTCCTCATTTCACTTGTTTCCACTTGTTTAGTTGTCAGAGGAGTATAGGTGACAGTCAATTCTAGACTAAATAGTGTTGTATCACCCACTAACAACAAAAATCATCCCTTGTACGTATTAAATGTGCCACGATTATAATAACAGAGTGACAGGATGTCTATTTCCCCCATTCTGCTGACCTCATGCGGCAGTCAGCCATTTTGTGAATGTGCCTGTAATGCGCAGTTCTCCAGTCAGCCACAAGAGGGTAAATCATGCTAATGTAGCAAAGTAGCAAGACGCTTCAGTGTTTCTATTGCTGTAATACACAGGCTAAATACCTTTGTTGTGAACCTGTTTCAGCTCCAACAGACAAAAGATGTGGAGCAAGAATTGACAGTTCTCTCTGTTTCTCACACAACTGCACATCACACAGAATCAGTCGGTTAAAAGTTAAGGGAGTCCTTATTCTAACCCTTACTCAACACAAACAACTGGTTTACGATGGAATTCTACCAAATCTTTGAAACGGCATGATGCCGAATGAGGTTACATTTCTCGAAATGTAAAGCTTGGCTGAAACGTAAACATTAGTTTCAGGAACATCGTTATACTATATAGAGTTCCTTCACCACTCACTGTTGTGAATTGACGCAATATCGTTGAACAAAAACGTAAGATCAAAAAAGTAAAACAATTGCGAAATGTTTAATAAATCCAAACTTTGTATGATATTGATATCTGCATTTTGTCCCTGTAACGAAGACTTTTTTCCGATTAATAGATCAGTTCTATTCCCGCGTTGAACATTTTATTTTTATTTTATTATTCGGTTGTGTTTTTTTGGGGGGGTAAGGGCTGCTTATGTTGCGAATCAAACTGCAACACCCATGACAAGCTATAGTTTTATGAAATACTGGAAGTTTTTCAAAAAAGATTGTTTGTCTCTGGAATACTCCCGCAGACAGTCAAGTACTGTCTGTCTCACGTCAACGTTGTGTTATCAGGTTTACTGCTAACAGTCAAATTCTTCAGGGTCATTAAATTCAAGACTGGATGGAGACTATTGTTCAATAATAAGGAAACAGATGGCCTTGGTTTAGTGCCATCTACTGGTTTTTGGAGGAAATCCCCTCTTGTTTTTTATGACTTCCCTATTTTCTGCAAGGACGAAAGTAGCCACATTAAAGGTAACCAGACCAACTCTTGCTGCCTGGAAAGAATAAGAAACCGTTGCATTTGACAAGGATCTGGGTAAAACGTTGAGGGATTTATCTACGGCATCACTGGAACCGTCTACTCCCCTAGAATGACAAAGGAACCGCCCATCCACTCATGATCCTCATGAACCAGGAAGTAGCCTGCTAACAAACAACCAAACCCAAACACAGCACTCTAGTTTTTTTTCTTCATTTTTGGTTACTCCTGTCTGTTGAGTGTCATTCTAGTCAAAAAGGCTTATGAAAGCATTGCCAAGATAACAAGCTGAATGGTGGTGCGCAAAACCAAAGTGAGGTTGCAAAGAATTTCGTAACGGTGATCTGGACAATCCGACTTGTAGCTAGGGCTAAACTTTGGGTTACGTCTCACCGAAGGTCTGCTTACTGTAATCTTATTTGTAATACTAAGAGAGAAAGTTGCTATCCATGTCCCTATTTGCTTTCTCAGTCAACAAGGTGTTGTGAGACGGAAGCTTTGTTGCCTATCAATTGAATCAATACTGGTTCAGCCAAAGTATTCCGCCAATGATTCTGAAACTTCAGTTCCTCCTTCCTTCTGTCGATCCCTCTGTTGGTTGCAGCCACGCCTTGCTCAGTGTGTACTTATCTGCCACAAATGTTATCCAGTTATCAATGTTGCGAGCTGACATTTGGGGGAAGTAAGGTGGAGGATGGCAACGGCTTAAACGGGAGAATTTTAAATGTCGACAGCCGTCATTTCTAAAGCAGTCTCTTTGTTCTGCGGGTCTGCACAAGTTCAATTAGACCACAGCACTCTTATTTTCTGCATGAGGGTGGTGTCAGAGACATTAAAGCGTTAAAATCCACTGGGAGGTTTCAAGGTAACAAGCTCCATGACAATTCAGTTTCTTTTTACTGTCTCATAAAAGGCATTAGCATCAATACACAATATATTCTTCTTGAGTGTTTAGACCAGATGAGCCTGCTCTTACTTCATTAGTGTGCCAAGACCAATATTGGCAACATGATAGAACTACAAAGTGTATGCCAACCTAGTTGGTGTCAGGACCATACATAGATGACAATTGAACATTTGTGGGGAAGACATTTTGACCGTGTCTTGTTTTATATTTGATGTGATGTACTACAGGTCATATATCTGCCTCATAATTTGGTGAGTTTGTGTTCTCATCAATAATGTTCTCACAGTTCTTGCACATTAGGTTGATTGAAGACTCCAAACTGGTGTGATGAATGTGAGTGTGAATGCTTGTCTACATCTGACCTGGGATTGGCTAGCTACCAGTCCAGGGTGTATGCCGCGTTTCGCTCAAAGACATTTGGGATGGGCTCTGAACAGGACAAGTACAATAGGAAAAATATGGATGACAAACTGGGGGGTAAAAGCATCCGTCCGCCTGAACCTCTTTGCTTTTGCAGTAAATGTAGATCGGAAAATATTGATAAACATAACAGAATATCGCCCAATCTCCTTAAACACAGCAGAACTCCATTTTGAGCCTGAAGTGGACGATCCACCAAAGTGACACCCATGGTGTTAAAACTTGAAATATTACCCTCATCGGTTGTTTTTTTTTTTGTTCTCCCCAGTGCAAGCCTGACCTCTGGTGGCCTTACGTATACACAGCACATTTTGTACATGTATTTGGCCAAGCGTTAAAAAAAACACTTTGTATGCAAGATCTTCCTTTTATCACTGGGCAGTAACAAAAATATATTTATTTGCACTTATAAAATATGTTGTATGTTGATTATAACCACGTAATATGTTGTTTTAATTTGGGGATAAGCTAGTCGCCATTGTTTCTCTCTCGCTCTCTCTCACTTTGTTTGGGAATTATGATTTCTCTGTGAGTCAAAGCAAGACGTTTGTGGTTAGGAAGAGGAGGAGCATTTGCGCGGGGCAGGTGGCGACAGCCTGTGCCTGCGCCTGTGCGACTTTATGATCTCGGCTCAGGAACGGATTCTTTGTCGAAAGCAGTCATCAGGTTGTGTTTGAACTGTCTTCTGGTATGCAAGTGTTTTCCTTAAATTGTATCTGCCATCGTTCTCAATGTTACTCAAGGGTTAACAGTTTCCCTTGACAGACAGCAAATGTACCAGCCGAACATTTCACATGAAAAAGGTGAGGAAATTTCAACTTGAAGACAAAATGTTAATTTACAAAGGGGGAAATAAAACTACTGTCCCGTCGTATGTTACTGCACCGGCGATAAAGTAACATATGCTTCTTGTAAGTACAATAGTGTCACAAATAACATGAAAATACTTCAATTGTACTTAGCAAAGATGGAAAAGCACTAGTATAGTGCAAGCGAGGCAATATTAAACTGTATTCTCGCTGTCCAAAAACAAACGGACCGACACGTACATATTTTTTAACTTTTGTATTCATGAAACACACGCACACAAAATCGTTTCACACCTAGTTTTGAAATCATTAGGTAGACACTGTCCAAGCTATTTGTTGGTCAGCAAATAGCAATAGAATAAAGTCTTGCTGGAGCAGTGTTGCCTAAATCGAATCATTTTGCGTAAAATAATCCACATAGCTACTGAATAACTCTAGATATATACCGTTAGGACAAGAAGTTATTCAACAATCACATCTTTTGTGTATCATTTATTGTAAAGTAGTCTGCATGGCTAGTGACTAACTGAAGTTAGGACCAGAATTATGAACAGAACATACGAGGTGTACAGTATTTGCCATTTTTCCCTTCATATATCACCACGTACAAGAAGAGATTGACTTGTAGACTTTGAGCTTTCGTTTTTAAAAGACTCCACAAAAATATGGCAAATTCAGAGTTTCTTACTTTCCGATGCTATGCCAGTCCTTCGCTTGCTGCTTGTTTGGACACCATATGGTGTAGAACAGATAAAGCGCTATATAAGTGCACTCCATTGTTTGTGGTTCTTCGTTAGCTGCCTTCAGTAGGTAAGATCAGAACGCAGCCTTGCCATGGAAAAACATTCCCTTTGCCAAATCATAAATCTTGGCCATTGGCCCAAAATCTGTGATCCAAACAGGATGTAAACATCCAATGAATTGGTAAATTATTGAGTCAGTTTGACAGAATATAATATCGCAGATTAAAGATTGCAAAAGAACAAACAATGATTCAATTGAGTTCCTCTTTGAGCCTAACATTCTTTTTGGAACGTGGAAAGAAGCCAGAGGACATGGAGGAAATCCACACATGAGGGTTTTAGCCAAGATTCAAACCTTGGATCTCTCAATGTGGTGTAAAGACTCACTAAAAATATTCAAATGAAAATATTTCCATGGGAATGTACATTTATTAAATAAATAAGACAAAAAATGCTGTAAAATATATTGTATCTCAATAATTTGCAGCAATTTTGAGAAGTTATGGTTAGAAATCACAAAGGATGAGCAATCTGTCTGATCGTCGACTGCCAACTTTGTAGACTGCAGTGCTTCACCCCACTTCCTGTATTCAAATATAACATGTTCCGAAATAGTTACTGAAACAGTGTGCAGTGATTGGCTTTGGGCGCACAGACCATTTAGATTCAAGCATGCACAAGCGAACAGACCAGACAAAGAAGTGACGTCACACAGTTTCCTGACATTTCTCCCGACCTCACCAAAATTACAAACACCTGTGTCTAATTTGCATCACACATCTCGTATCTCAAATCAAAATCACATAAATGTGCACGTTTGTATAAAACAATGATTCATTAAAAAAAAAAAAAAAAGAACCAGATTGAAAAAAGTGCCTGTAATTTTTGGCACATTTGTGTACTCACAGCAAGAACACTTACCGGTAACGGAGTGAGAAATCACGTTGAGTCATACTTCTGAACCCCAAGCGATATATGGTTTAGTATAACTTAATAATGATAAATTATGACCTTCTGGACTTATTTCTAAACAAAAACTACAGGCAAAAACGACCCCGCCCCCGCCACCCTACAAACAAAAACCTTGCGAAATTTCTTGCGACAATCCAGAGATATCATGGAGAAGAGTGCTGCCACCAAGTGGTAGAGATGAGTATGTCAAGTGAATGACTTCACCATTGGTCTTTTTCTGCTACATACAGGTAGGCTTTAAATGAAATAAATAGGCATCATCTCGTGCCAGTTGGGTGCTAAACACCTCTTAGAAGGAGTTAAACATTATGCTGTTGTTATGTAACCCTGGCACACATTTGTGCTCTTCTTGTTGATTTGTCTGGATAGCTTACATATGTTAAACTGCAGTTTTGTACCTGTAAACTGTTTTGAAATAAAACAATGATAAATTAGATTTAGTTTTTCTATGCGAGACACACATGAATGACAATTGTGATTAATCAAACGAGCCTATACGTCCATCAGTTACAACACCTACAGTATGTACTAAACCCAAAATAAAGACAAATCTTTAACAAACTCGCTGGGACTCCTCCTCAGCTCCGTCTAACCCACAAACATCGTCCCAGCATTGGCAGTCTTTTGTATCATGGCACCAAGACAATGGGTGGTACACCCAAATATTGACTTACTTTGACAAGCAAGGGGTGGTTATCGAAAAATGAACAATTAAATGACACTGATATGTACACATTGAAGTGTGTTTCAAGCATGCAGTGATGCCAGTCATGAGCATATAATGTCGAGCATATCTGTCGGCATCACCGAAGTTGTACGACAACACTGACTGATTACAGGTTGCTTTCCTGGGTGTCAACGGGGTGCAGGCCTCCATTCTCATGGAGTCTTTTGGCACGGTATGTTTCGTAGTGAATGTTATGAGTCACCTCCTTCAGATCCTGCAAATGAGACCTGCGCAAAGAAAGCGGCGTTTGTGTTTAAATGCAGTAAATTCAGATCAACCTTGTAGACTATTTCATCATGTAGTGGCCCGGTCAACTTTTTTCTAGAATAGTACTCGTAGAAAGGTTTTATTGTCTTTGTGGGGATGTGCCTGCTCAGTGATTTCTTGATTTCGTCAAATATATACAACTGAATGCATGAAGTGATGAAGCCTACTCGGATGAGATGTAAAACATCCCCTAAGACAACCAGAAAAGTCCAATTTTGATTATTTCAGTGCCCCGAGAATACAAAGGAAGTCGTTTTTTTACCTGATGATGAAGTCTCTCAGCTGGGCAAACTCACAATGAGTCATATTTTCAACTACGACAAAAACAAAAAGCAGAACCCGTCAATACCTTCCGTGTGGCGGACGCTGGGAACGTTAAAAGAAACGAATGCTCACCTTCGACAACTCCCCATGCGGTCTTCCTCCCCAAAACCCGCTTGCCATTCACTTGATATTCTTTGTCGCTGCCCACCACAGCAAAGGGCATCGCCTCCTGCGGACACAAGACATTTCCATGAGCTTGAGGTGACTGCCGTGAGAGATGTTTGGCGAGTGTTGTGTGGAAAACCCCAAAATCGCTTACCCTGATCTTGTCGTTGTCGCTCTTGTCCTCCATATCCTCGTCAAACTCTTTCTGCGGGTAAAACTCGATGCCGTTCATCTCCAGTTCTTTTTTCACCTGCATCACAAAGCAGGGAGAACAAGCCAATGTAAAGCCACACATTTGGCAATAACTTTGAGCTCAACCCTCTTGGCCCATATTGCTTCTTTTTTTTTTTCGAATCGAAAAATGGAATCGCATCATAGGCCCCTCTAGTGGTATGTGAAAAAAATATAACTCTTTAAGTGCTGTTCAGTTGTATTTAACCCTTTCGGGGACAGCGGTTACTACAGTGGACAGCTTATCAGGTTACAGGATGCGTGACAGGGTTAACTTTTAAGTACAATATGCTTAGATTTAATCGTTGTGAAATGTTTTTTGCAAAATATTTATTTTGTTGTTTTTATGGTTTTTTTTTTTGGGTGACATGCAATCTGTTATAATTTAATCATGAATTCAGACAGTTTTATTTTGCCCATCTTAAACAAGCAAAAGTTTGTGAGCGTTTGCAAACCTTGATTTTTTTTTTCATCAGGGTTCGTTCGAGGTCGCAAAGACATTTGCCGGGCATTCTCAAATAGTCTTAGCGGTTGCAAACAGTTTTAGCATGTTCAAAGTTTCTTTGAACATTCGTGACCTTTGTTTAATCTTCGCCACTAAGTGGGATGCGTGCTTAATAGCCAACTTAAGTGCTATGTTGATGTTCAAACTGCATAATGTTACGGTGACGAATAATAATATCCAATATAGTTTTAAAGAACAATAAGAATTGAAATTAAATAATAAAATATAATAATATAAATAATAATAATCCAGAACCTCCTATGTCACAATTTGGTAAATTGAATATTATTTTCACAAATCGATACCATTGGTCGGTCCACCTGAGTGGCTGTTGTTTTAAGAATAAGAAAACCTTTATTCATCTCACAATGGAGAAATTCCCAATTTGCAGCAGCAAAGTTATGAAAGGAAGAAAGTAGAAGAACAAAAAGTAGAGGAGCTGCTGTAAAGGCAACCAGCCACTCTCGCGGCGCCATCATGAAGTCAAAATAACATCAGAACAAAATAATACACCACAACACATAAGACACAGACAGTCATGCAATCTGAACCACTTTTCTGCATATTCTATGCTTTGTTGTTTGAAGCACTTCTAGATTAATATCATTTCAAAACTTAATGACCATTCCGTAGTGTTGAAAATCTATTTCATCATGTAATGTAATGCAATTGTAACTGTTGAACAAACATGACGGTCTCCGGAAAAGGGATGATTTTGGAGGTACGAGGATTCCGCCCATCTATTTCATTTTAAAAATGCCATCGTTTAGAAGTGCAAAGAGATTCACAGCTGAGTGTAACACGGCCACAATAATAAGCAAAAGGTGTGCGTGCTTTCTCCAATGGAGCACCCCATAAATGAAAAAGATGAGAAAGTCGGTTGGGAGGGGAACTGTCTCCCTCCATGAATGCACAAGCGCTAATAATCAGAATGGCAAACGGAGGCCAGGGAAATGAAGTTGTCGTGTCTCATCTGTCTCATTAACCTTCACTGCTCTGAGAGTAGGAGCTTCTCTCGGTCGCAGTTTGATGATGCAGATGAAAGGATGAAATACAGTGAGGAGAATGAAAAAGAGCCCCGCTTACGAGTGTCCAGTCGGGGAGATGAAATAGAGACAGCAGTGCACTCTGGTATCTGGGATGCGCTTCTTTCTGGTGATATTCACCTCCTCTCTGAGGAACTTCTCATACTGCTCATTGATGTACTTGCAAATGGGCTCCCAGCTGCCGACACAAATGAAAGAGTGAAATTGACTAGGTTAAAACCAAAAATGTGGAGGGCTAAACAGTCTTCTGTAATTCGGCGTTTAAAGTTTCATATCATGAAGTCAATTTGTACAGGCAGTGGAAACCCACTCACCAGTTGTCATTATTGATTAGATCCCCAAAGCCCGGGGTGTCGACAACAGTCAGCTTCATTTTCACGCCGCCCTCCTCAATAACTGCGCATACAAAGAAGCATAACAATGAAAATACAACATACGTGCTCACTACTCCCGTTTGAGGAGATCATTGTCCTCAATGCTCTTCCGTGCAAACCACAATAGGAAAGAAAGCAGGGCACTGTAATTATTTTCGGGGAAAAAAACAAAACATTTGGGGTACAGTGAAACTCCTCTGCAACGAAACCTATATGGGCGATAATACCTCCTAGTGTGAAAATATTTTCATGCATGAAAGCCATTCCCACTTTTCTGCTCCCCCTACAACGAAAAGTTCCCCTGTTCCGTTATAAGAAATCGTTTTCTCTACTCTTGCCTCGCAAAGAGATTCACTACAACGAAAACAAGCCTTCCGCATGTCACAGCGACCTCGGCTGCTTCATTCGGAAACGGCAACAGCAACCACCACACTGGTTTACACATGCGCAGTAGTACAGGAAGTATTTGTTTCAGACGCAGCACAAACGTTGCATTGCTAAAATGGCGACAAAACGGACCTTTGCATACCAAGGAGTTAAGAAAATAAAAGCTTTAACGCTTGAAGACAGGATAAAGGTAATAAAAATGAAAGATGGAGGAAGTAAAATAAAAGACAATATGCAAGAAATTGATGTAAGTGAAAGTAAATGCTGATCATTTTGCAATTTCTTTCCCTTTTTTTCTTTCTACGCTGGCTATATGAAGTGTCAAATAAGTGTGTGCTCATACTTATGCACTATTGGAATAAAATAAAAAAGTTCACATGTACGTTTTTGTGTGTGTTCGTGTTTACGTCTGAGATAAAATTTGCTACAGTGAAAAGTCCCCTGTTGTGAAAAATTTCTTGCTGCAAACCTGATTTCATTGTAGAGGAGTTTCACTGTATTTTATTAATGTATGAGGGCAGCATGTTGAAAAAGTGGTTTTGCATACCACCTCACAATCATACTGTAGGTTGTGTGTTGTTCGTCTATATGTGCCTTGCGATGGCTGGCAAGCAGCCCAGGGTGTACCCGGCCTCCCGCCTGAAGTCAGCCGTGAGGAAAGGCTCCTAATTAGGACAAGTGCTCCAGAAAAGGGCTGGATTCATTAATGAAAATGTTGATTAATAGCAAAAGTGTAATTTGCCGCTGCAGGAATGGCCATAAAAATGGACCAGCCCAGCAGCTTATCACCGATTTATGACCTCTAACTCCCTGGTGCTCTAAATCACGGAGGATACCGTACAATGTTTATCCTCACGCCAGTGCAGTTTTAGTAGAAACGTCTGGCTGAAAGGACTGACAAAAGCATTGGTGTGATTTATCTTCAGGGAGGCCTTTAAGCAAGTCTCATAAGTGTCTACCTCCACATCAGTGCTCAAAATACTGCCGACGGGCGTTCAAGGAAAGCGATCCAGTCAAGGACAGTCTAAGATGGCTGATGACTGCGTAAAATTTGTCAGATCGAAGCTTTCGTCATAAATGGACATGTAGAAAAAAAGCTCAACCTTTTCAACACTTAATATTACCGGAGATCCGCAACAACGCTTGTTTTGCACAAAATGGAGATTTTATACCAGATGGTGAGTTCACTAAAATAGTCACCATAGTTGTTCTGACGCCAACTGCATCATGGCTTTGCTTTGTCATAGCCTGAATGCCAACATGCTAATGGGCTATAGCATGATGGCAATTAAACCCAAGTGATCTCAAAATTGACTGCTAGATAGCGTGAATAAAAAGATTATATATGAAAACAAGGCGAAACACTCAACTCGTAAAAGCTGAGCCTCTTTTTAAAAATCCCAACGCGCTCCACTGCCCTGAATTTGTTTATATATGGATCAACATGTTGGCTCTGTGTCAGAACCCAGATCCTCTTGAGTTGCCCCGTTAGACAGAAAGATGAAAGCCTCCCATATCTACGTCCTGCATGAGAATTGAGTTGGCGAGTGCATTATTTCATTTCTAAAGATAGAAATGTTGAGTGCGTGGTGCTGCATGTACTCACCGTGAGACACAGATTTAATCTCGACAGTTTTGGGGATCTTGTCATCACGGGACCATCCAGCACTCCTCCTGCTCACCTGCGACTTAAATAAGGTGTTCACCAGAGTTGACTTGCCCAGACCGCTGTGACCTGATAGTGAAAAGGATCTGATCAAGAGGCCTGAAAAAGACGCTGTTGGTGTCCTCCTTCACAGTACGAGACGGCGCGACAGTAAATTAGGATTTATAATGGAAAAAATATCAACAATAAATGTGTGCTGAAGTTTACTTCTGATGAGAGATGATAGACGCAGTGTCAAACATTCTTGGAGGATTGGCATTTGTGTTTGGGACGTCACACAAAGACTAAAAACAGCTGTCGAGTGTACATTGAGTTCCTTTACTTTTTTTGGTGTTGTGACTTCACCCATCTTGTACTGAGCAGCCAGGACCAAGTGTCCTATTTTACGACCAGCTAATTAGTTTTATTTCCAATTCTAGGGTTATGATCACATTTTACCCATCTGGAATCACGGTGAAAAAGCAAAAGTGAATTATTCCATTAAGTTAAGGTTGGGTAAACTTTATTAAATGGATGGATGGGGTCTGGTAAAACTTTTTAACACATATTAAAAAAATAAATAACCCAAGTTAAAACGTGCATGTAAAATAGTTTATCTTAAAAATAGAATAATTAATACTAATATTACAATCAACACATTTTTATTATTTAAAAATAAACAAACATTTTATGTTTATATGCATTATTTAAATAAATGACCGGCTTATCTGGTACATTTTTATTATTTAAAAATAAACAGAAACATTTTATGTTTATATGCATAATTTAAATAAATGACCGGCTTATCTGACCAAAAGTCTGGACACAAACAGTTATGGCCAATGTGCAATTATTACATGAAGTTCATATTAGTCGTGCAATCGCAAATGTTGAAAATCATATTGCAGATGACATTTGTTAATATTCCAATTGGTAAAATGCAATTTCTTGAAGATTTGCATTTTTGTCTGTGAGTGCAGATTTTAGGGACACCCTGGTAAATATCGCACAGGAGCTGCCATAAAAAGCCCTGAAATAATTGACCTACAGAAGCTACTAATACATTAAAATAAAACAATTGTTCAGAATTTAGTGAGAAACAAGGAGAAAGGAATAAAGATCCTCGCCACTGTATTACACCCAGACACCATTTTAAATATTTAACCAGGCAGACATGCTTGACTGTGACACCACTTGAGGTATTTTTAAAAAAGCATGCTGCTTGGGCTGAATCAAGCAGTCCTTTTAGCTGACAGATGGTAAATATTAATAAAAATAACAGATAAAAGACAAGTGAGGTCCCAGCCTGCAGGCTTTGTGCACATGGAACTGCCCGCTTCCGTCGGGCTTCCTTTTAGTGCAATCTGGTCCTCATGAAGCAGGTCACCCTGGCTGTCAGTGCACATTTTACGACTTGCACTAGCCATGCAATGCACTGTGCTGCCATTTGGCACACATGCATGCACACTGTCACAGCAGCGCATGCTGAGACGAATAAGAGCGAGTCGCCACATGATGGTGATGGAGTGAATGAATACTTGAAAATTGCCACCTGTTCCTCTTAATTCAACACACCTTTCCATGTGTGAGGTTAACAATACAAGAAAAAGACCACATTAAGCGCCTTCGTCTTCCGGTTCGTTACAAAAAAAAAATCATCCGATAGCAGCCTGTGTCGGGCCCTATTGTCTCTCGCGTTGGACAAGCAAGACGGCTAGCGGCGAAGAGGAGCCACTCGCAGCAATGCAAACAAATTGCTTCGTCACTAACCTGAAGACGCGACGACGTCTCTTCGGGAGGCAGCTAATCTAGCCTAATTTCAACCAAGTAGTTTCTGACACGGCGGTGGCGAGGTGAGCAGATTGTTCTGGGTGCCTCTCCTCCTCTCCTGTCCTTCCCTCTGGCTCCCCTACTCCCTCCTTTTCTTTTCCTCCGTTACCAAGGCGACACGAGAGGAAAGAGGGCGTGGGACGATTCTGTGCGCATGCGCAATACGTCCACACCGCAAAGGGCGAGTCGCGCGTTCAACCGGACGTTTAATGATTACACTTATAGACAAAAATCAACTGGACAATTTTGTCCTCAATGAGTCAAACGTGCGTGTTTTCTAAACGTGAGAAGCTAGCATGGGGACTTCACACAGGAAGGCCAAAATTTGAACCCTGAACCTATTTATGATAAAATAAAAACAGATTGAAATACAGTGGTGAAATGTCATTACCTGCGCCCCCATCCCCCAAAGGATTGCAATGTGTAATTGTATTTGGAAAAAGTAGCACTCCATAATAATTTATGCTAGAAAAACATACAGCAAGTTCAAGTTTTTTTGTCACAGTATCAATTGAACGACCAAAGTGCTGCTCTTTCTAGTGTGCCTGCCTTGGCCACCTGAGGGCAGTATCGTACAGACAGATGGATAGACCGTTAACTGAGACGTCTCAACTTCTCTCAGTAGGTCAGCACTAAGATGAGTCATTCTTTGCAGAGGACAAATAATATATGTGACCTTCTAGCACAGTGCGAGATAATTTGGAGAAAATTCAAGAAATTGAGATGTACAATTTCTGATGGGGCATTAAAAATTATACATCTTGTGTATAATATATACCATAGATGTACATATATTCTTTTTAATCTTTATTTATCTCTCTGTATCTCTATCCCTCAATCTTTCTCACATAAGGCCCACTCCATATTTTAATCCTGCCCACTGTGCAAGATTCCTATATTTTGTCAGCCACATAATTGTCCAAGTCATTTCCCAATATTATTGGGGAAAAACAATTTTCGGAACAAACATTGGTATTTTTTTAATTGACATTGTAACCAAACTTCAATCAGATGGGTGAACAAGTAAGCATCCCCTACTCCCTCCTTTTCTTTTCCTCCGTTACCAAGGCGACACGAGAGGAAAGAGGGCGTGGGACGATTCTGTGCGCATGCGCAATACGTCCACACCGCAAAGGGCGAGTCGCGCGTTCAACCGGACGTTTAATGATTACACTTATAGACAAAAATCAACTGGACAATTTTGTCCTCAATGAGTCAAACGTGCGTGTTTTCTAAACGTGAGAAGCTAGCATGGGGACTTCACACAGGAAGGCCAAAATTTGAACCCTGAACCTATTTATGATAAAATAAAAACAGATTGAAATACAGTGGTGAAATGTCATGACCTGCGCCCCCATCCCCCAAAGGATTGCAATGTGTAATTGTATTAGGAAAAAGTAGCACTCCATAATAATTCATGCTAGAAAAACATACAGCAAGTTCAAGTTTTTTTTGTCACAGTATCAATTGAACGACCAAAGTGCTGCTCTTTCTAGTGTGCCTGCCTTGGCCACCTGAGGGCAGTATCGTACAGACAGATGGATAGACCGTTAACTGAGACGTCTCAACTTCTCTCAGTAGGTCAGCACTAAGATGAGTCATTCTTTGCAGAGGACAAATAATATATGTGATCTTCTAGCACAGTGCGAGATAATTTGAAGAAAATTCAAGAAATTGAGATGTACAATTTCTGATGGGGCATTAAAAATTATACATCTAGTGTATAATATATACCGTAGATGTACATATATTCTTTTTAATCTTGATTTATCTCTCTGTATCTCTATCCCTTAATCTTTCTCACATAAGGCCCACTCCATATTTAATCCTGCCCACTGTGCAAGATTCCTATATTTTGTCAGCCACATAATTGTCCAAGTCATTTCCCAATATTATTGGGAAATGAGGAAAAACAATTTTCGGAACAAACATTGGTATTTTTTTTTAATTGAACCAAACTCCAATCAGATGGGTGAACAAGTAAGCGAAATAAAAACATATGAATGTGTTTTCTAAAAATTTCATGTTCTCTCAAAATATTGGAAAATGACTTTGGAAATGATGCTACATGGCCGAGGATATGTTGCATTAATTTAGACATGTTTTATTGAAACATGTTATTTAAAATGCTTAATTTTTCCATTGTTGTATTAAGTCATTAATGTCATCAAATAATAATAATCTGTTAATACTGCTAAAATCAGTAATTTTACTTTTTACATGTAAATGTTTTGTATATTTATCTAATTAAGTAATAGGTTCATTGTAATTTAATTATTAATAAATAAAAAAATGATTTACCCACTGTTCTTTAAAGGAAGATCTTTTATGAACAAATTTTTTACCTCATCTCGATATCACGTTTTTTAAAATGTGGCCCATCCGCAAAGGTTCGTAAATCTACATTATATGTGCAATTGCTGCAATCGTGTAAATCACCTGTACGCACGTTATCTCCTCCTTCCATTCTTCCCTGGCTCGTCTGCTTCAAATATT